TGATGCTTTTGTAGCTTGTAGAGCATTAATGATCTAGGTCTATGCTCTCTTTCCTCAGAGTAACAGATCTGGAATGTCCAGGGTTTATTAATGTATGTAATGCAGGGCCTCATAGCCACAATGGCTCAACTTAAACTTGGGCTTTTTGGTATTTATAGCGATCTCCTCAATTTATAGTATGTTCTCATATTTCCATCCTCATGACAGGTAGTGGCAAAGGTCTGAGAATTCAGAGATGTGTAGTAGTGGGTCTCAGTGGAAAAAGGCTTTGCAAACAACTCAAGAACTCCTGTGTATTATACAGATCAGTGCAAAATAATTTCTGAACATACTTAATTATTTATGTGGCACCGCTGCTCACAGACTATGTTTGTGAGAACAGCCATAGGGTTTTGAAATCTGAGAAAAATGAAGCAAATATGAAAGTGTTATCAAGGATGGGGTAAAAATTTGTGAAGGACAAGTTCCAGAAAGGGCTACCTGTTAAATTCTCATCGAAAAATTTTGAAATTTAAGCATTTGCATGGACATATACACATAATATCCTTCAGAATGGAAAGGAATAGGTGTGTCATCTCTGAATTAAGGGCTGATTTAGTGGTTTGGATTTTCATAGAGAGTTTAAATATGGAAATGCTCTGCAATGTAATTTACTAAATGGTGTAGAGCAGAAGCTCTAAACAGAAATTTTGCAGTGATATCAATAGTTAAGCATGAAGGGTTTCATGCTGAGGATGGATCAGAGGAGTGTGGAAAGGATGTGCAAGTGACTGACAGACTGCGGGAAGCCAATAGCAGGACATACAACAGAGAGGGTCTTCACTGAAATTCAGGTAGTTCTTAGAGTAAGTGTGAAGTTAAAGTTGGGTTTTGATTGCTTACTTGAGGTGATCACCACCAGATCTGGCAACAATCAGTATTTCACATCCTTGTCAACCCATGAATTTTCTGTTTCATACTTGAGATCTACTTTTGATTATTTCTAATTATGCTGTAGTGTCATGAAGGTAAAATGTGGTGTTTTTTTGTACCAAGGATCAAACTCATGACCTATGCTTTCCAGGCAGGTGTTCATGCCACTGAGCTAAATACCCAATTATGAAAGTGTTTTCTTTGTTGTATGGAAGATATCCACATTGTTTCTCAGAAAGTGTTGAATATTGTTGGAATTTTTCCATATTATATGGCTATAATTTTTAAAAACAAACCAAAGGTGTCTTATGCAGTCTCTTTTCAAGATTCACTTTGTCTGTGGGGTGTCACAGTCAGGGTTTCTCTATTTTAGACAGCTCCGTAACTTAGTATAACCCCAAATTCAAGGAAGAAGTCCTTCACCAGCCTCACAAGATATATTCCTTATATCTGAATTGAAAGTGAATGCTTGGTGACAGTGAGCTATAAATTACAGCTTGGGCTTGGTTCCATTTTATATACTTATTTTTTTAAAACACCATTTTCCACTAACATTTGAGTTATTATTTGTGTACATATTGGGTGTTATTTATGTTTTGTTCTATGAAACCAAATTCATGTTTCAAAATGCTGCTGAAGTATATTAAGAACAAAGTACTCACTGGCCTAAATGAGATTTGAAGAGACATTAACTGCAGCCTATCAAAGTGATTGATGAGTATTTTTTTTTCTTTTTTTAAATTTTGAAAGTGGTAAAATACAACAGAACAAGGCCGAATAAGGCCCACTAAGATCAAACAGTGAATTTGGTACACAACTTCACAACTGGCTACTGCAAAAACAGTAATAGGTATCACAGTATATTTTATTATCTTTATAATAGTTGTTCTTTCTTTCATTCTTTTTTTTTTTTGTCTTTTTCTCTTTTATTGGTACCGGGGATTGAACCTATGACTGTCTACTTGCAAGGCAGGTGCTTATGCCGCTGAGCTAAATCCCCAGCCCCAATAGTTGTTCTTTCAAACACGTATATCAAAATGAGATGAAATACCGAACATTATAGTACTTATCAAAACAGAATATTGAATAGAGCAATACCATTAATCAGAAAAGAGCAAAACAGAAATGAAAATATTCACCTTCAAAGAGATAGTAGAAGGAAGTCCCCCTTATTTGTTATGGTCTGCTTCCCAGGAGACACTCAGATTTCTGGTTCGCATTTGCTAACAGAGGGGGTGACAGGAGAAGAGGGAAGTGGGATGTTTGATTCTAGGCCGTGCATCAGTAGGTTCACTATTGCTTAGTAGGGAGACAGGCCAGTTGTTTTGTTTCACAGCATCCTAGGTTCCCACATGGCATGGATCTCAGGAGCTGCTGCTTGTTCTCCCCCTGGAAGGGCAGCATTCTGTCAGACCTCCACCACTTACCAGGGAGAAGTGGTGCTTGCTTGCCTTCCAAGTATCCTAAATTCCAGCATGGCATGGATCTCAGGAGCTGCTGCTGGTTTGCCCCCTGGATGGGCCACAGTCTACCACACCGCCATCACTTACCAGGGAAGGGAGGTGCTTGCTTGGCTTCCCAGTTGATTGAGGGGATATTTAGCTGCCTCTGTGCTTTGTGGATGGTGGTCCTGCAGGCTTCTCACTGTGAGCTCTGCATTAAAGACAGTACACAGGGAATATTGCAGTGACTCAGCACAACAATCAGTGCTCGTATTTCACTGTGACATTAGCAGTGAGTTGCAATCTATCATCAAATTTGCTGTCTTCAAAAATGTCTATATATACAAAAAATTAAAGACCAAGACTTGAATTTAAATTTGAAGAAATCAGTCTTCATTCAGCTGTTTAGTTTGGTTGTATTTATTGAGTTTTGTTATGTTTTATTGAGACAAGCTTTCTATATGTATATCAGCTAGATTTGAACACCCTATGGAGCCTAAATTGCCCTGAACTCACTGAAACCATCCTGCCTCAGCCTTTTGAGTGCTGGCATTATAGATATATACCACCACACTTTGCTATTGATTCAGATTTGTAGGAGAGAATTTAAGATATCCCAAACCTGGTGTCTCAACCTTCATGTGAGAAATATATGTATGATCCTTTAGGAGGTGGTGAACTTTGAGGATGTGGTCGTGAACTTCAGCAATGAGGAGTGGACTTTGCTGAGTCCATCCCAAAAGAACCTCTACAGAGTTGTGATGGGCGAAACCTTTCGGAACATGACTGCAATAGGTAATGACAAAATACTTTTGTCACTCATGCTGTCAAAATGTTGTATGTCGCTGTTTAAAAACAATGTGACAATATTTTTAAAAATAGCTCAGACCTGGACACATTATATCATAACTCTAAACAAAATCTATTGATTTGTATGTATTATTCTAATGAATGCTGGTATTTCTTTGTCTACAATTCAGGAGGACTTAGAGATATCCAGGAAGCTGAAAAAGAATGCAAAATTTACTGGAGATACTTAAGGTAATTTGCACTCATAAGGAGAAGGAATGTTCCTGAGTAATTAGTGAATCAGCAGAAAAATACTGCCAAAGAAATGAGGTACCATTCAATTTATTGTCAGTAATATTCTCCAAAGCCGTATAAGCTAAGGTAGGTATAATGAGTGGATTAAATCAAGAAAATGTCATACAAGAAAATGTCTTGTATGACATTGCATATAAATGTGTATGAAAGGCATACACTTTGAGTTATGACATACTCTCTTCAGTTTTTCTACCCATATATACATGTGAATACAACACATTCATCATCTAAAAATTGCTAAGATTGCAAAAGAATTTTAAATAAAATGGATTTCTTGTGTTTCCAAGCCATGCTCTAAAGAATCAGCCATTCTGACTAAAATTCTTAGAAGGCTGGTAGAATGTTAAATGCACTCATTCTGAATATCATTGTGCAGTTGTCTCTAAAAATTGATCCCCTCATACTTGTCCTGGATATATTTTTAAAAATTCAAAATGCACATAAAATACTGATACATGCTTACTCATATACAAAGCAGATCAAGTTATAATAGATCAGGCCTTGATGAAGCTTAGCTATCTATCACTGGATTTGTGGAGAAGGAAAATATTAATAGACTCTTTGTGATTGTGAATTCTTGTAAATCCAGCACACTAGGAGTCAGATTTTGCAGAACTGCAAATTCAAGTTCAAACGTCACAGCTTAATGATCAGTGAAAATCTCTTAAAACATATTTTAAAAGCTATACATTTTATGCTAATAGCTGTTGTTCATTCCCAGCATGGAAATGAAAAAAAAATGTGTTATATAATGTCAAAAAATAAAGAATATAATGTCATTTGCCATAAGAAATAGGTGGTTCTTTCTCCCATCAATTCGGTGAAATAGCTCACCTATAAAACCTAAAAGTTCACAGGGTTTCTCTTACATGAGAAACCAAAATATAAATTGTGGAATGAAATGAAAGAGTTAATAGAGAATAGTAAGACTGACCATATGGAAAAGGGAACTACAGGTTAAGGACAGAAGGGAGATTGTGATGGTGAAACATATCATACTGATCTGTGTGTGATACACATAGTGTATACCAGTCTTTCGGGAATAGTTGTTTTCAACATGTCTTACAAGGCCATTCTGTTACTTCATGTTCAGAGTTTCTTAGCAGGCATTAAAAACAGAACTTGACATTAATGCAGTCATTAAACTGAGACCCATTTCACTGTGAATGTTTCTTTTTTTAATGTAAGGAAAGACTAAAAAAACCAAAATAAGTAGAAATGATACCACTTTCAAAGTGAAAATAAACAATAAATATCTAAAGTCAATGATTACATATGCTGCTCATATAGATAGTTAATGAAATACAAAAGTGAAACATATGATGTGGGGATTCAAACAGTGAGACTACAAAGAATTTTGTTCAAATCTCCAGTAAAAACTTAGTAATATGGTTATCAATCTGATACGTTTTTTTTTATAGAAACGACAAGATAGGGAAATCCTGTGAACATACATCTTGGAATCAGTGTAAAGAAGTTTTCCTTTGTACTGCAGAAGGTAATGTGAATGTGAAAGAAGCAGAAACACACCACAATGTTCAGCTCCATGAAAATTATGGCAGTGGGGAGAAATCCTACGTATGTCAGCAATGTGGAAAAGGGTTCACTAAATCTCGACATCGTAAGCAACATGAAAGAATTCACACTGGAGTGAAACCATATGTAAGTAAGCAGTGTGGGAAAGCTTTTTACAGACAGGAAAACTGTAAAATACATGAAAGAATTCACACTGGAGAGAAACCATATCTATGTGAGCAATGTGGGAAAGCTTTTAACACACGTGCACAATGTAAGGTTCATAAAAGAATTCACACTGGAGTGAAACCATATGTATGTAAGGAATGTGGGAAAGCTTTTAACACATGGGCAAATTGTAGAATACATGAAAGAATTCACACTGGAGAGAAACCATATTCATGTGAGCAATGTGGGAAAGCTTTTAACACACGTGCACAATGTAAGGTTCATGAAAGAATTCACACTGGAGTGAAACCATATGTATGTAAGGAATGTGGGAAAGCTTTTAACACATGGGCAAATTGTAAAATACATGAAAGAATTCACACTGGAGAGAAACCCTATGTATGTAAGCAATGTGGGACAGCTTTTAACACATGGGGAGATTTTAAGAACCATGAAAGAATTCACACTGGAGAGAAACCCTATGTATGTAAGGAATGTGGGAAAGCTTTTAACAGACGGGCAAACTGTAAAATACATGAAAGAATTCACACTGGAGAGAAACCCTATGTATGTAAGCAATGTGGGACAGCTTTTAACACACGGGGAGATTTTAAGAAACATGAAAGAATTCACACTGGAGAGAAACCCTATGTATGTAAGGAATGTGGGAAAGCTTTTAACAGACGGGCAAACTGTAAAATACATGAAAGAATTCACACTGGAGAGAAACCCTATGTATGTAAGGAATGTGGGAAAGCTTTTAACACATTGGCAAATTGTAAAATACATGAAAGAATTCACACTGGAGAGAAACCATATTCATGTGAGCAATGTGGGACAGCTTTTAACACACGGGGAGATTTTAAGAAACATGAAAGAATTCACACTGGAAAGAAACCCTATGTATGTAAGGAATGTGGGAAAGCTTTTAACACATGGGCAAATTGTAAAATACATGAAAGAATTCACACTGGAGAGAAACCCTATGTATGTAAGCAATGTGGGACAGCTTTTAACACATGGGGAGATTTTAAGAAACATGAAAGAATTCACACTGGAGAGAAACCCTATGCATGTAAGGAATGTGGGAAAGCTTTTAACAGACAGGCAAACTGTAAAATACATGAAAGAATTCACACTGGAGAGAAACCCTATGTATGTAAGCAATGTGGGAAAGCTTTTACCCAACATGGACATTGTAAGCAACATGAAAGTTCACACTCAAGGTAGAACCAGTGTATATAAGCATCATGAGAATTTTTTGAGCACAAGTACATATTGCATAATGAATGAAAAACTTCACACTGGGCAGAAAACTTATATATGTAAGGAATGTGGGAAAGGTTTCAGCAGAAATGCTTATTGTCCAATTCATGAAAAGATTTACAATGTTGAGAAACCCTGTTTATGTGAAGAATGTGGGAAAGCTTTCACCACACATGGATTTTGTAAAATACATCAATGACTCCACTCTGGTGAGAAAACCTATGTATATAACAATGTGGCAAAGCTTTTACCACATACAGTCATTGCAAAACACATGAAAGAATTCACACTGGGAATAACCACTGGCTAAGTAAGCAAGTGGAGACACTTTGTGCAGCCAGATTGTAAGTGAAATACGTGAAGAAGCTCACACAAGAGATAAATCCTATGTGTTATGAAAATACTCTCAGCACACGTGATCATTTTTACATATCTGAAAGAGTTCACTTTATCCTATGTGCATTAACAATGTGAGAAATATGGCAATCTATGTTTGTTGTTAAATACATAGAAAAAGCAGCACTCTTCAGACAGTTTAAATCTAAGTTTACTGTAAAAATTCCAAGTAGACCTGAAGAAATAATCAATACAGAAGTTTTATATCAATATTTCTTCACAAATTTTCCAGAAATGACAAATCTGAAGTGGAGCTCTACTCAAGTACATATTTTGTATGGTTTTCAGTTAATCACTTATACCTCTTTAGATTTTTAAAGTGTCTTTGTGCTTCAACATGGCATCTTGTAATTAAACATGGTAAACTGAAATGGGCTTTTCACTTTCAAGTATGGATAGTGTCTATATAATTAATGTTTTGTCTTTAAACCTTAATTTTTATATTTTTGGTGAATTATTTTTATTTTTAAAAAAACCAAAATGTGTAGAAATAATACAGAATTTCTGAAAAATAAACAGTAAGAAATCACTAGTTGATTAGTTACATATTGTCATCTTAGAAGTAATTGTTCAAGTAACAAAATTAAGCATAGAAAGTGATATTCAAATAATGACACTGTGAACAGTTTACCTCAGTGATCCAACAAAAACTTATTACTATGCTTATATGTTCTACAAACTTGTCTTTTATCTTAAAGATCATAAGATTAAACATGACAAAACAGAACAGTTCATAAGGAAACAATTTAAGGAAACACAGGTTTCAAAGCAAGTCCACTGAGATGTTCATTGTCTATCTTACTGTCTCTAGTTTTTTTCCAAATAGTTGTTCCCATCTTCACAAGCATTGAATATATACTATTATAGAACTAATATATATATATTGTATATATATATATATTATATATATATACTATTATATATATATATATATATATATACTATTATAGAACTAATATAGTATATATTGAATATATACTATTATAGAACTAATCAAATAATTACCGGATGATGCAGGCTTTTTTTTTATCTTGAAGACTGACTTTGGGGAAGTTGATGATTACCATAATGTGTCTCATTTTCTTAATAGTAGATGTCTTTATTTTTATGTATGCTGAAACTGAACATAAGAGACTAAACTAATATACTCTGAACAGTAAATGATAGTATCATGAGAAGGAGAGAGGTGAGGAATTGCCTAAAAAAAGAAGGCAGAGGACATTGTTAAAAGTGTATCAGGATTTAAAAGCTATAGTAGTTCTGTTGCTCTGTTTATTTTATTTTGTTCTGGTCTGTCTACTCATAATAGATTTGAGGGCACAGAGAGGTAACCCAAAAATAGCAGGTAATACCATGATGGTAACTGTGCTTAATTTCCTACTAACTAAAACTGAAAACCTGTATTACTTACATTGTCTTACTATGACTGATCTTATTGGAAGCTGGTTTGTTTGAATGTTATTTGGCCTTGACTTATTTTATTCACATTTGGTATGCTTGCTGGCATCAAGTCCAAGAGTAGAGGCCACTTCTCTGAAGATGATAAGATGTGAAACGTATATATTGGGTGGCTGGTGTATTAGCTCAGTGGCTTAAGTTCCTGCCTGGCAAGTGTAAAGTAATCAGTTTGATCCCCAGTACCAAAAAATAAATAAAAGATAAATTCCAGTTTAATTTTTTAAAGAGAAAAAAAAACCCATAAAAAACAAAGCAGTAAAGGGTACAAATCATACAGAATTTCAAGAAAAAATACAGTAAGAAATCACTAGTTAATAAGTTACATATTGTCTTCTTAGAAACAGTTGTTCAAATTATAAAATTAAAGCATCTAAAGTGAACATTCCTACAGTGTGATTGCAGAGAGTTCCGTTCAATGATCCAACAAAGCTCAGTAATATGGTTTTCCTCCCTACACACTCAAACAGGCACTTATATCTCTTAGACGACCTTCCTTTCCTCCTTTCTTCACAATAACAATTACACTTTTGGGGTTTTTTTTACTCCCATATTTCTTATTACTTTTTTTGAAGAGAATAAAACCTCAAGTGAGTTAACAAAAGAGAGTTGGTTAGAACATAAGGATGGGCATAGTAATTGACGCAAAAATAGAATATCAGGTGATCAAAAATGGTTACCACTGTGCCTCTTGCTATTTTTAAAAAGAGTTGCTATATCATCAGGTATAATAGAATTGATCAAAACAGTATAGAGCAAGACAAACAAAATCTACACTGGAGATCTTACAGGATTTCAAAAGAGGATAATAGTCAAACCATAATGGGCATCATAGTAAATCTTATTGCCTACAAAGTGGTTGCCTATACCCTCAAACTTGAAAATATCAAACAAAATAGAATATAGTAAAATCAGTCAGAACAAGATGGGGAGAGCAATACTGGGGTTAAAATCAGGTTAATGGGAAAACATAGAAGTTACTATAATATATTCCTCTAATTTTTAATTTAGTTTTCCTTTAAAAAATAGAATATTTTTTTAAAAAGGGTGGAGATCGAGATAAAAGAGACATTGTAATAGAACAACACAGGTCAGAACTGAACAATTAAAGCATCATTTTGTTTCACCACCAGATAACCTAACATAATAGTAGTCACCATAGTGCCTCTTTCCTTGAATTGTTTGAGCATAACTTCGTATACTATAGAATCAATCACATCAAGACAGTGTGAATCCATTCAAGAGAAAGAAAAAATTACAGGGTATTTAGAGCCAACTAACAGATAATGAATAATGATTTCTATATTATCTCTTTGCCTGTGAAAAATTTTATTTATACTATCATATACAGTAAAATATGTTAAGATACAACATGTTAAAACCAGTGGAAACATGTACAACATCTTGATGGGAGTTCCAAAGAAGAGGATATTAAATCATCACTAGCTTTTATGGTGTGTTATTTTCTTCAGAATAGCTATTCGTACTATCAACGATACTAAAATTGAAAAACCCAGGGTAAAACCATTGCACTTGATGAGGAAAACATTATATGGATTCAAACCAATATGATTGGGTATCATGATTACCACATACTTCTATGTATTATCATTTCTTATACTAGGGAATATATTTGGTATTTATACATGTGAGTTTGATTTATTTCACTTATGAGTATGGTCTCAATCTGCATCCATTTATTTATATGTCAATGTGATCATTCTTTATAGCTGAGTAGTACTCCATTGTATAAAAACACCATAACTTTTTTTTCCATTCCTCAGTTGATGGACACTAGGTTGTTTCCAAGATCTGGCTATTATAAACTGTGCTGCTATAAAAATGGGTGCACATATATCACTGTGGAATGATGCTTTCAGTTCTTCGGTGAATATGCCTAGAAGTAGAATAGCTGGGTCAAAAGGTGCTTCCAGTCCCAGCTTTCTGAGAAATCTCCAGCCTGATCTCCACAATGGTTGCACCAGTCTACCCTCCCACAAACAGTGCAGTAGAGTTCCTTTTGCCCAACAGTGTCTCCAACATTTGTTGTTTGTGGTTTTCTTGGTCTTGGCCATTCTTTCAGGAGTGAGATGAAATTTCAATGTGGTTTTAATTTGCATTTCTGTAATGACCATTGATGGTGAACATTTTTTCACGTGTTTTTTTGTCACTTGTATTTCTTCATCTCAAAATTATTTATTCATCTCAGATGCTCATTTTTGAATTCTGTCTTTGAATTTTGGCGGTCTCATTTTTAAAAATGCTTTATATGTTTTAGACAGAAGTCCTCTGTCTGAGGGGCAGTTCACTAAGACATTTTCCCAGTTTGTGGGTTTTCTTTTCACTATACTGGAGATTTCTTTCTATGTGCAGAAACTTTTTAATAAGAGGTGATCCCAATTATTGATTCTGGGAAGCATTTCCCATATGGTTTGAGTCCTGTTCATCAATTCTCTACCTACTCCTATGTCTTCAAGGTTTTTACCTAATTTGTCTTCTATTAGATTTAGTGTTTCTCTTTTAATATTTAGATCTTTGATCCATTTAGATTTTATTTTAGTACATGGTGATAGGTATGGGTCTAGTTTTAGTTTTAGGCATATGGAGAGCCAGTTTTTCACCACCATTTATTAAACAGAATGTCATTCTTCCAGTGAACATGTTTGGCCCATTTATCAAAGATAAGGGAGTTGAATGTATTTGTAGTGGTGGTTGTATCTTCTCATCTATTCCACTGATCTTTGGCTCTGTTTCAATTCCAGTACCATGTTGATTTTACTACAGTTGCTTTGTAGTATAACTTCAAGTCAGGGGTTGTGGTACCTCCTGCCTGGGCTTTTGCTGCTTCTAACTGTGTTGCTATTCTAGGTTTCTTCTCATTCCAGATGAATTTTAGGGGTGATTTCTGAAGTTCTATGAGGTATGTTGATGGTATTTTTATCGGGATTGCATTGCGTCTGAATAAAAGTTTTGAGAGAATGGCCATTTTCACAATATTTATTCTTCCTATTCATGAGCAAGGGATGTCTTTCCATTTTCTGAGATCATTTTCAATTTCATTTTTCAGTGTGTTATAATTTTCCCTGTATAGGTCTTTCACTTCTTTCGTGAGAGTAATTCCTAAATATTTCATTTTTTTGTTTGCTAGTGTGAAGGGTGTGGCCTCTCTTATATCTGTCTCTGTGACGGTGTTGTTAGTGTATAGAAATACTATTGA